GCAAAGCTCATTTCGAACAAAGGGCTACACACCCAATTGGACTGAAGAGGTGTTCGTCGTGAATAGAGTTCTACCCACCCAACCACCCACCTACAACATTCGAGATCTCATGAACGAGCCTATTCAGGGCAGTTTCTACGAACATCAACTGCAGAAAACCAAGGAAAACCAAGTTCCGCGTGGAGAAAGTCCTGCGCAAACGCCCCGGACAGTCTCTGGTCAAGTGGAAAGGCTACCCGGACAAGTTCAACTCCTGGATTGACAACGGACAATTGAGCAAGCTCTAGCTGCCGACAAGAGCAATCTTATTCTTATTATCATCATCAACATCAACATCAAACATTGCCATCATCGTAAACATCATCAACTGTGCAATTGCATTTCACGCAATTATGTTTAGCTATATTAAAAGTCTAGTTAAGTTATGGAGAAAACAAAATTATGTAGTATGTAGAAAAATAATAACATCAACATCATCATCATCATCATCAAGATCAAGATCAGTAACTCATTAGACAAATGGAATTGATATGGTACAGGGTGTGACTAATAATTGTGATTGTCAACCACAACCATCATTGTTCAGTCATCCAGCAGTGCGATGCGGTGGTGCCCATGTGCAAGTGTGCTGACACCGTCCGTTCGGATGTATCGTTTGCTGTCGAACGGCGACAAAGACGACTTGGTCATCGTCTCGGTGAAGATACGATGCGAATGGCTGCGCAGGGTGGTCATTGCGTGTGACATCCTCGTCCTGTCGACCAGACACTGACGGTAGTCCGCGATCGTGAATCTTCTCGTCACCGCTCTCTTGACGCCCTTTGCACGCTGACCACTCTCCTCGCCATCGTACGCGTACATTTTGGATCTGAGCGCCACGAACTCTGTCATGAGCTTCCCTCCGAGCTCGTCCTTAAATTTACCTACAACCTTCTTATTACTCTCGCTGTACAGAGGACTGTCGGGGCTAAAGTTGCTGGTGTCGTACTGATCGGCCATACTCTTCATGTCCGCATAGAGGTCCTCCGTGCGGAACAGCAGCACCAGCGAGTCCGTGTCTGTGTACAGCAGGCTCATGCGGTCTCCGTAGCGTGGCTGGAGCTCGTCATAGTAAAATCTGTACATGAGCTCCTTGCTCAGCTCCAGGATGCTCATGCCAACGTACACCGGCTTGTTGAGGTGGACCGCAAGCTTCCTGTTCTCGACGCCCACAAGCCCGTTGTCGAAGAGGACATGGCGGACGTAGGTGGACTTAGCCACAGCTGTGAGAATGGTATCTTCCTCGTCTTCCACACGCAGCAGTCTAATGGAGATCCTTCTTCTCACATTCTCCATTGTCTTCCCAAACACAGCGTTATTCATTAATTTGAAGAAGTCCTTCTCGAAATCGTTCTTCGCCTTCTTCCGAAGCTCCGTGTTCAGCTGGATGTAGGGCTTCATCCACGGAGCTTGGCGGAAACTGAGCACGCGGTGTACAGCATCGATCCTCAGACCTAGACGACTGTACAGCCTGAGGTTACGGTAGTGTGCTACGTAGCGCTGCTTCGGCATGAGGTTCGGGACCAGTTTCGGAGCACTCAGTCCGGAGACAGGATCTGCTGCAATCAAGTCGCGCTGGTATGGCGACATCATACTCTCGGTGATGGTTACACGCTCCGGTGCGGGTGGGTAGTCGTTCAGGCGATCGTGGAACTCTGTGGGCACTGACAGATCACACTCAACCATGTACCCAGTGTCTGCGTCATCTGGCTGGGTGAGGATCTTCTGCAGGAGTTCGTCACTGGGGGCACACCACTGGAATTTTGATGTCGGCAAGTGCTGCGACATGGCCCAGCCGTACAGGTTGTTCGCGTCGAGGTATTGAAGATATGTTGACGCCTGCTCAGGGTCGTGTGAGCTCATGTACTTGTTGTTCGCCCTGGCGTGGCGGTGTGACGCCATTGTAACACCGCCACGAAGACCGCGCTCGACGAACAGATGCATGTCCACGTCGTCCAGCAGAGTGAGCGAGATTCCTGTATGTTTCAGAAGGGCGTCCCACGCGAATCCAGGCAGGGTGTAGTAGTGTGTCGGGTCCAAATCGTACGTGGCCATTGCAGTGCATCTAAATTTCTCAAACACATCTGCAAGAAGGTGCACATCGGTCTTCAGGAGGTACAGGATGGCTCGGAGGCGGAAGGGAGCCGTCCATAGCAGAAGGTGGCCTGGGAGACTTCTACATCAACACAGGCAACGGTCTGGTGTACAAAAAGGAGTCCGAAGGTTGGGTGGTGATAACAACAGCAAGAGGACCCAGAGGATTGCAGGGTCAACGAGGACCGCAGGGACTAGTGGGAGAGCGAGGAGAAAGAGGAAGACGGGGTCGTGTGGGTGAGCCAGGTGTACGTGCCATGGTTCACACTGTCAGCGGAACACTCCCGGAGACTCAAGCAAACACAGAACTGGTGCTCACTGAATTCCCATTTGGAAAAAATGTGGATGCCGGTACCATTGTGCCGCTTGGGTTATACATTCTAGTTGGATACCCTGCAGATGCTGCAGAGCGCGGGACAAAGGAGATACGCTACTGGATGTCACACAGTCAAACACCCAGGAAGAACAAGTGCACGCTGTCATTCACTTCCAACCCACTCCATGCCAATCAAGCCGTACTGAGAATGGACGATACCATCACAGGCGTGTACAGAAACTACAACATTTATGATTCATTCCGTTTTCTTTACCAAGTGTATTGATAAATTATAATAAAATGTTTTTAATGAATAACGTCATGTATTATGATGATGATGATGATTTGAGTGTGTGTGTGTGTGTGTGTGTGTGTGTGTGTGTGTGTGTGTGTGTGTCCACATGTCAAATAATATAGCTCAAAGTGAGGGAGGCAAGGATAGACATAATAGTAATCAATGTGAGCATTTGTGGAATTCTACAATTCGTGAATGTTGACTGAGTTTGCTGACAACGCTTGTAGTGCACCACGTCAAGAGCATGCAGTTCTCGATCGAAGAACTCAACTAGAGTGCAGTGCAGCTCATGATCGTATCCTCTCAGCGACACTTCTTCACACAAGAGAATGAGCATTGCAACCAACACGATGATCATACTAATGTTGTTACTGGAAGGGGTGCTCTTCACCTTCTTGAACACGCAGGATAGGTTCTTCATGAGGTGGCGTTGAGCAATGTCCGACTTGCCAGTAGCAGTACTAGGCGTACTTCCATCAGGGCTTGGATCAACTGGAAACAGCAGCTTCACTACATCAAGTAGTTCTTTCCGCCCGCAGCAAGCCATGTCCTTGGCAGCAATCCAGATCAAGTTGGTTATGGGGTGACTTTCAACAACTGCTTGGTCATATCCATGGTCTCCATTAAAAGGTTCCACCAGGTTTGTCAGCGAGGTTGCGATTCCTAACCGCGCAGCACAACGCATCAGCGCACCCATTGGACAATGGCCGTCCTCACCATGATCTTTCAAAATAGACCACATGTTCATGATCTTCTTCTTGTTGTTGTTGTTGTTGTTGTTGTTGTTGTTTTGAATTCTTTTATTCTCACGATGGCCTGTGGCCATTGTTTTGTTGTTGTTGTTGTTGTTTTTCTTCTTCTTCTTCTTCTTCTTCTTCTTCACCAAAGTAATAGCAAGGATGAAGACAACAACAACAATTACTTGTGACTTGGCAAGGATGCTTTGCGAAATGATGGAAAATTAAGATGTCAGGGGTTTTATACAGCGGCAACGGTACCCTTCATCATCATCTTCCTCGCCCTACACATGGCACTTGAGAAACGGTACAGCGCACATTTCATCTCCGCAGGAATTAATTCCACACGAGGTTCACAGCACCCGTAAGATTGGATTAGTCTTTGCATCAGTTCCTTCTCCTCAGAATTAAACTCTCGGATATTCTGCTTAAACTTCTTCAGCTGAAAAGGGGTAAGAGGTTTTGTACGGATTAGAAGTTGGCGGAGCCAGGCTTTCGAAAATTGCTGCGGTTTGCAACTCATTAGCTTGCTGGATCGTGCCCACGCCACATGGCTCTTTGGAAGATATGGCTGAAGCTTCTGGCAAATCTCGTCGTGCTCAGCACAGATGCATGTCAGAGCTATGGCATAGTTCAGGCTCTTGTAGCCACTCTCCTTCTTCATGTACTGCAACGGTTCCAGCACACCGTGAAGGTTCAGCAGGACACCGGTCTTCTGCATGAAGCGTACCAGATGTCTGTCGACGGCAGTCAATCGCTCCCGAGCCGCATATAGCCGTGGGAGAATGCATCTCTCTGTAAAATTCACCTCCGGCAACAGCACGCTATCAAGAACAAGTCCGCATACAGTACACACAAAGTGCCCCTCGTTCACAACTTGATGATTATGAAAACATTTGTCAATGTTTGGACTAGGAGGAGGGGCATCAGGACAAGGGTCATCGTCATGCTCAACGACGGCGCGTTGACGCTCCTTGTACGCACGCAGTATTTCAAATTGCTCTTCAATATCCAATATGCTAACTGATCACATTTTCCAGTAAACGCTGCATCATATATCAATTTATAAATGAGTCACACCTCCTAAAAAATACCCCCCTATGACATCATACCGTAGAGCTAGTTCTAATTAGCCTGGGAATACCTAGAAGTTTCCAGAACACATTCCCAGACAGTGACTCTTATCAACAACCACACCCACCACTTTAAAAGCAATTATGACGCCGAGAGGCACTTCAAACACCACTTAATCATTAATCCAATTAAATATGACACCTGGCCCACTTCAAAACCACTTCAGATCTCAAGTGGCCACTTCATTACCACTTATCCAATTAAAAGGTCAAGTGGCCACTTAATTAACAACCGCAAAGTTCAAGTACCCATTCATAAGGTCAAGTGGGTTCAAGTTTGAACCAGGACCCGCTCGGTCACTACTACTGGCAAGGCGCATGAGTATCACCGTTGGAGGAATTCCTTCCTCCAATACATGGATCCACGCCTGCCAGACGAATACAAGATGGCCCGACTGAGGGAGGCCATTGAGCACAGCACAGCCAAGGATCTTGTCGTGGACCTTCTTGACGGGCCAGGCACTTACTCCGTTGCCTGGAGTGAGTTGGAGTCCTGGTTTGGAGGAGCAGACAGGCATCTAGAGCAGCAGATACGAGAGGTTATGACGCAGGCAAGAATTGCCAACGAGCGAGATCTGGAAGGCCTGCAAAAGTATGCCGTCAAGCTCCGCAGCACGATTGCTAACATTCGCACCAGTGGCAGCACGCCGAGTCAAGAGCTGTGCATAATTGCGACGGAAAAGATTCCCAAGTCCATGCTGATCAAGTTCTTCGATAAGCATGGAACTGGCAGCACTGACATCGATGCGTTCGCCACGTGGCTGTTAAGTTACGTCAAGAACTTGAAGCATGCCACGGACCGGCTTGGGTTGCTCGAGAAGCAGGAGACGCGATCCCAGAGCACTTCGCAACCTAAACCGAAGATGAAGCATCAGACATTGGCAGCGGCCAGTGTCCGCCGGCAGGACAAAAAGTCGGCAGCCACCAAATCTCCAGCACGGCAACAAAAGTGCCGAAAGTGTAACGGGCCGCATCAGTTGCGTCACTGCAACGAATTCAAGGCGCTAGGTGTCAACAAGCGCAATGAGTTGGCTAGGCTGCTGAATCTATGTTTGAACTGCCTGGGTGATGGCCATTGGGCGCGAGAGTGTGAGTCAGCTGCCTGCACGGAATGTAGTGGCAAGCATCACTTGTTGCTCCACACCGAGCGCAAGCCTGCTTCTGACAAGGCGGAGAGGGCGCCACAATCCACAGAAGAGACCACACATCATGGAACCGACTCGGCTGGAGGGTTGCCAATGACCGAAGACGGCGCAAGCGGGTCAACATCATTTATGACAGTTCCTGTGCAGGTCATGAACGGGGCACATTCCGCCATGGCGAATGTGCTACTGGACTCTGGCTCAAGCTGCAGCTACGTGTCAGAGCAGCTCGCAAGGCGACTACATCTTCAAGGAAACGACAAGGACGTGAGTGTGACCGTACTCGGCGGCAAGGTTCTGCGCGGCCGACGGCGCGTCGTGAAGCTGCACCTTCGCCACCATGATAGCAAGGACACTACTCAACTGGAGGCCTATGTGATGCCCAAGATCACGAGCGAGCTCCCTGTCACCAATTGGAATGCCGTGCGGAGCCAGTGGCCACACTTATCCGACATTGAGTTTGCAACTGTAGCTCACGCCAAGGTTGACATACTCGTCGGCTTGAATGCCGCTGTACTTCACGTTGCGCAGGAGGAGCGAGTTGGCAACGACGGCGATCCCATCGCCAGACGAACGCTTCTCGGCTGGATGTGCTTTGGTCCCAGCATACGCTCCGAAGGCCCCAGCAGTCACAGCACTTTCCATGTCGCAGAGGCAACGCGCTCAGGACTGGACACACTGGTGAAGAAGTTCTGGGAACTTGAATCAGTCGGGATGGAGACATCATCAGATGAGTACTTGACACCGGATGAGCGCCAAGCTGAGAGTACCACCCGCCAGTACATCCGTCACGTAAATGGGCGCTTCGAGGTCGCCATCCCGTGGAAGACAGAGGAGCCGCCTGGGGTCAAGAGCAATCGAGTCCAAGCTGAGTGTCGACTCAGATCCTTGGTACGTTCCCTGCAGCGACGGCCTGACGTACAAGTCCGCTACGCCAAGGTACTGGAGGACTACCTTCACAAGTCGTACATCAGGATGCTGACAGCACAGGAAGAATGCAGCGGTGCTACAGACGAGTGGCTCCTTCCGCACTTTCCTGTCGTGCGAGAAGACAAGGCCACCACCAAAGTCCGTGTCGTCTTCGACGCTGCTGCTCAGTTCAATGGAAGCAGCATTAATGACCGCATGCTGGCAGGGCCCAAGCTCCAGAACGACCTTGTGAAGGTCCTCATCCGTTTCTGTGAGCACCCCATCGCACTGATCGCCGACATTTCGGAGATGTTTCTGCAGGTCGGCCTGAGACCTGAGGACCGGCGCTACCACCGCTTCCTATGGTTCGTGGATGACGATATACGTGTGTTCGAGTTCACTCGCCTCGCCTTCGGCATTAAGGCGTCGCCATACCTGGCCGGACGGGCTCTTCTAGAGACGGCTGAGAAGTTTGGCGATCAGTTCGACACAGAGACGTGTAGCACCATCCGCCAGTCCTTCTACGTAGACGACATGCTGAAGTCGCTACCAACTGAGCAACAGGCGATCCGGGTACAGGACCAGCTCCAACGTCTGCTACGTATGGGCGGCTTTCACCTACGCAAGTGGATGTCGAATAGCCCGGTGGTCATGCAGTCCATTCCTGAAGAAGACCGAGCATTGGACATTGCGAAGACCTTCACTGAGCAGGATGGGTCCGGCAAGGCAATGCAGAAGGCTCTGGGAGTCTCGTGGATGATCGCTGATGACTACTTCACTTTCCACTGCCGGAATCCAGCCCCTGTCACGCTTACCAAACGTGGCGTTCTCAGCTGCATGGCCTCACTATTTGATCCCAGAGGCCAGATTGCACCGTTTACGATTCGCAGCAAGATCATGTTCCAGGAGCTGTGCCTTGCCGGAAACGGATGGGACGACCCACTGACCGTTCACCAACGTGAGTCATGGCTCAAATGGTTCGGTGAGTTTGAGCAGTTGTCCGCGCTAAGGATCAGACGGTGTTTCAGGGAAGCTGGAGCAACCAATGATGTCACAATCCATGTGTTCACCGACGCATCAGAGCTGGCATACGCAACAGCAGTGTATGTACGGGTCAGCAACGCCGACGGAACCGCAACTGTGACTCTTGCAATCGCCAAGGCCAGACCTGCGTCGATCAAGCGCCGTACCATCCCGCTACTAGAACTGCAAGGAGCTGTCCTGGGCTCGCGGCTGGGTGAGTTTGTTCGCAAGACCCTCGGCATTGCGACATCTGATGTCTACTACTGGACGGACTCGATGAACGTGCTGTATTGGGTCAGGTCGCCAAGCCGTAGGTTCAAGATAGAGGTCGGGAATCGCGTTTCCGAAATTCAGCAGCTGACCATGACCGGCAACTGGCACCACGTTCCCGGCAAGCTCAACCCTGCTGACTTTCCTACACGCGGACTAACGGCAGAGCAGCTAGTCGACGAGTCGAGGTGGTGGGAAGGCGCACCATTTCTGCGGGAGCCACCTTCGCAGTGGCCGCAGAGGCAGATTATCGTGCCACAGGTGCTACCAAGTCAACTGAAGCGAGCTGACGTCACGCTTGCAGCTACTCCGGCCGCGACAACAGACAATCGGCTCCACCCCGAGCACTATTCGTCATGGACGAGGCTTGTTCGTGTCACCGCGTGTTGTCATCGTTTCGTTTCCAGGGCTCGCCGCACCAAGGAATCTGATGCCCTACTAACTGAGGCCAAGGTCCCTGTGGCCACCGCCGAGTCCCGTACCGTGCTGGTGCCCGAACTGTCGGCAGAAGAGTTACGGGGCGTGGAGCGCCACTGGATTCGTGTCAGTCAACGAGAAGTCTATCCTGTTGTTGTTGCGACCCTGGAGAAGGGTAACGAGCTGCCACCTAGTGCGCCGCTTCTGAAGCTTCGGCCGTTCCTAGATGACGAGAATGGAGATCGGCTGTTGCGTGTCGGCGGTCGACTCCGAACCGCGCATCATTTGTCATCGGAGTTCCGTTCACCGGTCATCCTTCCACCGCGTCATCGCGTGACGGAACTCATCATCCAGCATGAAGACCGGCGCTGTCGACACAGCGTGGGTACTAATCACCTCCTGGCCAACCTCGCAGATCGCTACTGGTTGATAAAGGGAAAGCAGATGGTCAAGATGCACCGGCATAGCTGCGTAGGATGCCAGAAGGTGTGGCGGAAGCCTGTAGTGCCACCGATGGGTCAACTACCAGATTACCGTACCCAGGGCACTCTACCAGCATTCGCTCGGACGGCGGTCGACTATGCAGGACCCTTCTATGTCAAGAGAGGGCGTGGAAAGAGTCAGGAGAAGCGCTATGTGGCGGTCTTCACATGCCTGCAGTCTAGAGCATGCCATTTTGAGATGGTAACATCCCTGGACACTGAGGGCTTCAAGATGGCTCTCACTCGGTTTTGCTGTCGTCGCGGAACGCCTCAGTTCATCCTCACCGACAATGGCGGCAACTTTGTTGCCACGGAGCGCGAACTGAGGGAGGCAGTGTCGCAGATCAATCATGCCACGCTAACCGCTGACTTAGCCGGCCAAGGAGTGGAATGGCGGTTCAACCCTCCACGTTCCCCGCATTTCGGAGGGGTGTTTGAACGGATGGTGCGCGCCATGAAACAGGTTCTTCAGACGGTCCTCTATAAGGCAGACTTGACGGAGGAGGAGCTGTTAACTGCTCTCGTTCAGGCAGAAGCCCTAGTGAACTCGCGTCCCTTGACAGTCGTTTCCGACGACATAGATGATCACGAGCCGCTAACACCCGCGCACTTCCTGATTGGCCATGCATCAATGACAACGCCCCTGGAACACGTGCAGTCTGACAGCCGTATCAACCCCCGACATCGGTGGAAAGTTCTACAGAACCTCATGCAGCAGATCTGGAAGAGGTGGATGAGGGAGGTTGTTGCACGTGCCAACCTCGCCACGAAGTGGCTTAAAGATGCCGTCGATCTCGACGTCGGCACAGTACTGATCGTTGCTGACTCCTCGCTACCCCGCGCACGTTGGTCATTGGGCCGAGTAGTAGCCACATACCCCGGCAGAGATGGACGTGTCCGTGTGGTCGACATCAAGGTGAGCGGAAAAGTCTACAAGAGAAGCGTTCACCAGCTTGTGCCGCTAGATGTGGCTCCGACCGGTTAGAAGATGGCAGGTACAGCTGCAGTGGATCTGCCTGAGTTTGAATAACAGTACCATTCATAGTATCCTGTCAAGCGTACTGGTTGCATGACTTCAATAGCACTGTTTTCTCGCTGTCGTTAGTTTAGCCTCTCAATAATTATGTCCATGTGTCGTACTTCACAGTAATCATATCTAACCAGTGTCCATGGTTCTACTTATCTTATTCGCTCATAGTCCTAGGTTCGCTCATGAGGGAGGTATGTTACGTTTAGTTCACTGTTCCGCCCATGTCACTGGCACCTTTCATGCATTGCTTGCATGCGTGTTTTACATGCCCGCGCCTGTGTGGCTGCACGTGTCGCGTGACCGATGCAAATCACTCCAGATTCCCGCGCTGCGCACGTGGAGGCTTGTGGTACTGCGTGTTTCGGTTTTATCGGTTTTATTGGTCTGGCTTTGTCGACCAGTAGGGTCTTTTGCTTTGCAGTTCGCTTGGTGTGTGTTGCTCTTGGAAGTGTATTCCATTCTTGTGTTCTTGCTTTATACGTTGTAGTGGTGAGAGTTGAAGTTGGTTTTCTGTCAACACTGAAAGTGTCCATCTGTGCGTGGTGAAGATTCTTGCGTAGTTTGTTTGTGAGAGTGTGTTCCGAGCATTCTACAACGAACCCTAATTGAAAGTAACACATTCCAGATAGGGAAATGCAGGAGACGGCCTGGCTGGGGAGGACACACTTGGAGGAAAACGAAGTAGGTTACATTGTTTATGTTGTTCTTTGGTATTGCAATCTTATATGTGACACATACATCATGGTGCATAGTTGGTCGTTGCGTGCCTGCATGTGCATGACTGTATAAGACTTGAGTGTGTGCTGATAAACACTTCCTCTGCAACAACCTGACACTCATGCTCTCTTCCTTTCTCGCAGTATGTGCGCACATGTGCGCACATGTGTGTGTATGTGTTTGTGTGTGTGTGTGAGTGAGAGAGAGAGAGAGAGAGAGAGAGAGAGAGAGAGAGAGAGAGAGAGAGAGAGAGAGAGAGAGAGAGAGAGAGAGAGAGAGAGAGAGAGAGAGAGAGAGAGAGAGAGAGAGAGAGAGAGAGAGAGAGAGAGAGAGAGAGAGAGAGAGAGAGAGAGAGAGAGAGAGAGAGAGAGAGAGAGAGAGAGAGAGAGAGAGCGTGCGTGCGTGCTAAGCCTGTGCAGGAGCAGCGTGGAGCATGCCAATGTGATCGCTGTGGCCATTGGTTTCTTAGCTGTGGCGTTCTTGTGTGTGGCTCAGTCCCCAACGACAGTGGAGCCGTGTTGTGGTGAACACTGTGTGTCCTGCGACCGCTGCTTCCGTTCGGTCCAGGGCAGGAATAGACACCGCTGCTCAAGCTCCCCCCGGCCAAACGTCAGTCTCGTGGCAGATGACCAGAACTCTCGTTTTGTGGTGGTGGTGGTGGTGTGTGTGTGTGTGTGTGTGTGTGTGTGTGTGTGTGCGCGCGTGTGTATGTATGTGTATTGCTCCCTATTTAGACAAACTCTTGTTTTTGTGTCCCTGGCGCCGTGGGACGGCGTTCTTCCATTTTCTCTCCACTGCCCCTCCGGGCCCACGTGGCAGTGGCTCGATAGGGCAGGTCAGGTGTGTGTATGGTGCATGGTGTGTGCTGGCATGTCTGTATAAACATGTTGGACAGGAATTTGTTCACCCACGACGTTCACGGAAAACCATGCCAGGTGTTGCTGGAACGTATGGAGTCTGCAAGCACTAGGTGCTGGCGGATAATGCCGGCATTATATCGAGCATTATACACCACCCTAGGGTTTATCGGGTGTTAGCGGCCGTCGTGAGTTCCCTTCGGGAACGGATACGATAATTTACTTTTTTTTTTTTATACACCACCCGGAGCATTACGAGCATTATAAAGCATTACGAGGCTACAAATGGCATTATACGACGTTCTGCATGACTGCATAGTAGATCTACACGCATGCTCATGTACAGATTCGTATCGGAATAGCGTTGGTCTTTGATTGGCAACATTATTACTATGCGATGACTACAAGTACAAGCGATAGACCACCGCACACATCATGCATGGTACTTATACCAAACAGATCGTGGCACGCAGTGCCAGGCCCAGTATACTGCATGCAGACTAGTGCTAGCTAGCTGTGGTCCAGCACAGTGTGGAAACTCTCGCAGAAACTTCCGGTCCCGGAAGTCTATCTTCGGCCAGCAACTAACACTTTTTGAAGATCCAGGTGACAACGCCGAACCAACGAAACAAATGTGAGCCAGCATGGAACGGTGGAGGTGCACACACGCACACATTCCAGACCTTACCCGGTTACCGTCCACAATGTTACAAAAAACTTTTTTCATCGAAGCAAGAGTCCATGTCTTTGTCGAAGAGTAACGCTGGACTTTCACCGGACATTGACCATTGTGTAAGAGCAGCTAACTAGCAGCCAACGCTGATGGCTGACTCGCCGCGATGCCGTTCTTGGGATTGGGAGGAAGCTGGGCTTTCTCCAGATGAGCTTTTGGCGGAGTCCTCTGATGATAGTGACGTCGTCGAGCTGGAAACTTCAGATCCTGCCGCGATAGCGAGGAAGCGGCCTTTTCAGAAAACAGCTATTACCAAGTCTGGAAATGTTTCCAAAAGGACGCTAGTAGCTCATGGACAGAGCACTGAAGTGGCCATCAGTGCCGAAACACGGGTGCGGAGCCGCTCAAAAGCGACTGTGGCAAGTTAGTGTGCCTGGCATGCCATACAACATTGTCAGGGAAGAAGAGTATAATCATGTCCCATATTGCTACCGCGAGACACAAACAAGGAAAGTCCCGTTTGGAGAGGGAAACTCAGAGGCAGTAGCTGGTCAAGGAGTCCTTCTTGGCGTATCAGAAACGACTTGGGAAGGCTGTAGCCGGCACCGGTCTTCGTTACTGAGGCCGTTAGTTCAGCCGAGTCTCTGCGGCGGATCCAGATTGCGCGTTCTATGTTGCATTGCATGGGTGCAATATTATAGCGTTTTTCTTAGCCCGATTACGCAAGGTTCAGGAGTTTACATTCCATCCGGAGAAGCATTATCAGCATTATTTGGAGCATTATGGCCTTTTGTGGAGCATTACTGAGAGCATTATACCCCATATTACCGAGCATTATCCGCCAACACCTAGCAAGCACTTACGATGACTTACATCATGTCACAGCAAAGAACGGTGCAGTGTTTGGGCCTCATGTACTGTGAACAATGATGGTGATGGTACCTCACCTAAGCTATCCATGAAGCTAGAAAGAACATCAGGCCAACAGAATTGTACCAGAGGAAAGCATCTATTGCCCAAACTTCTTCATATGAAATGAACAATACCCTTCTCCAAAGAGACAACATGCAGATGAAGTGTATGGACAAATATATAAATAGGCCATTCAGTGAGGGAATGTAATGATCTCTACGTGAAGATCGGATAGACACATGCACGTCTGCAAGGGAAGCATTTGCTCATGGGTTAGCTTGCTGATTGAGTTCACATGGCCTACGTTCATACATGCCATCTCTCCTGAGAAATGTTCAGCCAAATGTCAAAACATACGACATTATTTCGTTCGCTAATTACCGTTACCCGTCGTCTCACGTGGCTTCAGAATATGTTACGAGAGATAGGAGAGCCTCCAGCAGGCAGCGCAAGGAGCCTGGAATGGGCAGAGCACACCCTCTCGCCCCCACAAGGAAGTCCCAGGTCGCAGCACGGATGAAAATCAGGCTGCATCAGCTTGCTCATCAGAATCTGAGGAACTCCCATTACCTGACTTCAACCAATCACCGCCCAGACCGTTCAACCTACAACAAGATTCGCAAACACAGCTCCAGCTGCCAGCTAAGGCAATTGGTGACCTCGCAAGTCAATGTCACAAGGCCGGCTCACCAAGTCCGGCAGCGACTCTGACACGGACTCAGACGGTTTTCAAGTGCATAGCTCCAAACGCCCTCGAAGCCCTCAAAGCAGTGTCACACCTGAAAGACCTCGCGGGGCCACTGCCAATGCACCCAGAAACAAGAAAATGAGAAAAGGCAAACCCAGACAGTCCTAGGTGAGTGCAAGATATCCACACATACAGAACGGAACGTGTTGTACTGTAATATACTCGCACTGACACCATTTTCGCCTTCTTGCATAATATTATACTTTTGTCCTATGTCTTCTTTCGGCTCCAGCATGTTGTATTTCTTTACCTAATTTTCCTAGGAATGAGTTTTTTAAACATTTAATGCTAGGAGCTTGTGCAACAAAATGGACGAGCTCATACTCACTATCACACGCATCACGCCCACACTAATTGCGGTCTGCGAAACATGGGCAAACCCCATGGAGCGGGACTCATTCTATGACATTCCAGATTACACACTCTACAGACAGGACAGAACAGAAACGATGGGTGGAGGTGTTGCTTTATACATACATGCCCCTACCTGCCACAAACGCCTAACAACAGTCGTCATGCCAAGCTCCCAGTCACTGTGGGTAGAGCTTACACTCTCAGATCGTACAGTCACCGTGGGATGCACGTATCGACCACCAAACTCTGATCCGAATTTATTCTGCCGCGAACTTGAATTGTGTCTCGGTAAATGTAACACCACAGTGCCATTCATCCTCCTCGGCGACCTAAATTCCAAGAACAGCTCTTGGTTGGATTCTGATGTCACAGACAGAGCTGGTGACGCACTTAGCTATCTTATCGATGCATATGGTTTCCATCAACATGTAAACTTTGCCACCCACATCTGCCGAGGCCATCTAAATTCGTGCCTCGATCTAGTCATCTCCAATCTCCCTCCGGAGAAGGTCACACTTTCTTCCAGAGCACCGTTTGGGTGTTCAGATCACGTAGCAATCTAGGGAACTATCTCCATGCAGCCACCAGCAGATGAGCGTGGCAGACGTAACCTGCCACCTTGGACCTAGAACTGGAATTCAGAGAACGTTGGCGCCCTGAGAAAAGCGCTGGCGTATACTCAACTCCTGCCACC